TGCTATTACAGAACAGCAGCTGAGATATCATATAGTATAAAGGTAATTCAGCCTGGTAGCCAACTGAGCTTATGGGAAATTAGAAAAGGTTTCCCAAAGAAGGTAAATTTTAGTTTAAATCTTTTTTTCTTTTTAATTCCTCACCCAAGGATATTTTTCTATTTATTATCAGATAGAGTGAGAGGGAGGGAGAGAGAGAGAGAGAGAGAGAAACATCAATGTGATAGAGCCACATTGACTGGTTGCCTCCCACACAACCCGACCAGGGCCGGGGACGAACTGCAACCCAGCTACGTGCCCGTGACCAGAATCAGACCCAAGATTCAATGGTCCACGGGTCGACACTCTAACCGCTGAGCCAAACCTGCTAGGGCTAGTTTAAATCTTAAAGGAAGAGAAGGAATAAGGAAGAGCACAGGGTATGTGAAGGGCAGGAACAAAGGTCAAGAGCCCTTTAAGGGCCATTCTGAGGAGTCTGGAACTTAACACAGAAATAAGGACCTAACAGTTTTTTCAACAGGATGACTTGACATTTGTTGTTTAGTAAGATAACTCAGTTGACAATATGGCAGATATGCTTGGGAAAGGAGATACTGGCAGGGAGAACGGAGCTCACATAAATAATTATAAAGGTCTGAAGTAAGGCTCAAATAACATGAGATTATTAAATGAACAAATCATTTCATGAAGAAAGAAGAAATAAGGGAGATAAATTTAGAACATTAAGCGAAGGCATCTATGAGATATTCAGGTGGCAATATCCAGAAGGCAGTTGAAAATATAGATCCCAAGTGAGTTATCTAACTCAGCTAAGGCCATAAAAGAAATAGATAAGTATGGATCAGCCAAATGATGATGACCAATAGGCAGATGAACATACAGTTTGGACTAAAGATGGAAATCTAGGATTCATCACTGAACGGGCAGCAGCTAAGGCCAAGGAATAGGAAGGAGATCTTCCAGGGAGACCACCTATCAAGAAGTTACCTAGGCCCTGGCCGGTTTGACTCAGCGGTTGGAGCGTCGGCCTGCGGTCCAGAGAGACCCGGGTTCGGTTCCCGCTAAGGGCACGTACCTCGGTTGCAGTTTGTCCCTGGCCCTCGTTGGTCGTGCGGGTGGCAGCCACTCGATGTGTCCCTTTCACGTAGATGTTTCTCCCTTTCTCTGTTCCTCTCTCTCCCTCCCACTCTACCTGAACAGGGGATGGAAGAATGTCCTCAGGTGAGGATAAAAAAAGAAATTACCTAGGAAATAATAAAGCTAGTATTAACCTTACACTTACTCTGGCTTTTTTAATCCTCACAACCATCTATGCAATAGATAGGAACTAGTATTCCATTTTACAGGTGGTTAAGTAATTTTCACAATATTACAAGACAATTAAGGAACAATAAAAAAGCTAGGCTAGGAGAGATTAGAGGAGAAGCAGGAGCAAGCAATGTTCGAAATCAAGTTAGACAATTCATGAGGTAATCTATGGCCAATATCAAGGAAAATTTAAGTAGGACAAAAAACTGGAGGGCCTGGCCGGGTAGCTCATTTGGCTATAGCATCATTCTGATACCCCAAGGTTGAATGCAGGTTCGATATCCGGTCAGGGCAAATAGAAGAAGCAACCAGTGTCCTGGCCGGTTTGGCTCGGCGGTTAAAGGGTCAGCCTGTGGTCCAGAGAGACCCAGGTTCAGTTCCTGCTAAGGGCACGTACCTCGGTTGCAGTTTGTCCCCGGCCCTGGTTGGGTTGTGCAGGTGGCAGCCACTTGATGTGTCCCTTTCACGTCAATGTTTCTCTCTCTCTCCCTCTTCCTCTCTCTCCCTCCCACTCTATCTGAACAAAAAAATGGAAAAATGTCCTCGGGTGAGGATTAAAAAAAAAAAAAAAGCAACCAGAATGCATGAATAAGTAGAACAAGAAAAAAAATCAATGTTTCTTTCTCTTTCTCTCTAAAATCAATACATTTTTTAAATGGAGGAAAAAGGAGTGTGTGACATGGGATATTTCACAATTTGGGGACATTAATAGCTATGATTTACTTCTACAGTTAGTTTCAGGAAGGACAAAGAAATGTAATAGACTGGGTTGCAAAATAAGTGAGGAAGTGAAAACACTGATCATAAGACTCGTCTCGAAAGAGGTCCAGTGATGAAGGCACTAATGTTTACTAAGTCAGTAACACGTACTGTGCTGGACACCAGGGTGAGTGCATCACATATCTCATTTAACACTTCCATTTTAAAAGATGCAAAAGATTTGGAAATACTACGCAACTTGTACAAAGTCACATAGCCAGTAAGTAGCAGTGGAAACATTTATACCCAAGATGACATAAATCTGTCCAGATAACTTGTGTATACACACACACACGCGCGTGCGCATTTTAGAGAGAGAGGAACGTACTAAGAGATAGAAACAAGGATGTGAGAGAGAAACACCCATCAGCTGCCTCCTGCATGGCCCCCCACTGGGGATCGAGCCCACAACCTACGCATGTGCCCTGAGTGGGATTAAACCAGGACCTCGCTTAATCCACTGAGCCACACTGGCCGGGCAAGATAACTATTTTAAAATATAACACATTGACTAAACAATTATTTCTTGTTTTTAATTTTTTTTTTTCCAGATAGAGTGTAAGGGGGAGAGAGAGAGAGAAACATCAACGTAAAAGGGACACATCGAGTGGCTGCCACCCACACAACCCAACCAGGGCCGGGGACAAACTGCAACCAAGGTACGTGCCCTTAGCGGGAACCGAACCCGGGTCTGGACTGTAGGCCAATGCTCTAACCACTAAGCAAAACTGGCCAGGACAACCAGTTTTTCTTAAGCATCTAATCCATGCTTTGGTTTTGTAATGTTCAGTATGATAGCATCCAACTTGGCTTAATAAAGTCTTAATGATCTTCTGGTGATTTCACCTCATGTATTCATCTCAGTTATTGTATTCTTCATTTCTGACTGAATCTTTTTTGAAGAAAAAAATTTCTCCCTTTTCCTAAACATAGGTTTGCCCTAATACAGTCCCACAATATTTACATATCAAAGAATTGGGTCATTAAGTCAATTAGCAAAACTAAAGAACTGACTGGTTCTCGAACATCTGTATGGTTACCATACCAATTTATCCTACCTGATAAATTGCAAAAATAAATTTATTAAAATCTTTTTCCATTTCCTTCTCAGAGGAAACAGCACTCTTCCCTAGTTAATTATTTCCCATTCAAAAGTTCCTTCCTCTGTTTTCCAACTCATTCATTCTTTCATTGTGTCAGGTGCTGGGCCAGACTCGAGAGAATTAAGACAGAAATAAGATGGACTAGCCCAGCGTTCATGAAACTTCCAGGCTAGCAGAGGAAACAAAGCATCTAAGTAACTAATGCAGCTTGTTATAATTGATCAACTGCTGCTAAGGAAACAGAGTGCTAGGAGAACCTGACCAGTACAGAATGGGTTTCCTGAAGTGGTATTTGGGTTGATAATTGAGGAACGCATAGGAGCTGGAGAAAGGGAGAGAGTACTGCCTAAAGTGAAGGAGACAGTAAAGAGAAAGAGGCTTTCTTAGAACAAAAATAAAAAACCAGGATGGCTTGAGCCCGGAGAGCCAGGTGACAAGTGGCCCAAAACCAACTGGATATGGGAAGAGTCTTTATCCTAAGAGAAATGGGAAATCTTTGAGAGTTGTATGTGTGTGATGCATTAAGACACATGCATTTTTATTTTTACTTTTTACTTTTTGGTACGTGCCCCTAGCGGGAACCGAACCCGGGACTCTCTGGTCCGCAGGCTGATGCTCCAACTGCTGAGCCAAACCGGCCAGGGCAACACGTGCATTTTTAAATGACTACTTTTAAATTAAATTATATTACTCTTGAATGCCTCAGAGTTCCTTCCAAAATCCATTTTCATACCTAGACAACGCACAAACTTCCCTAACAAGTCATTCATCCATATCATCTAACTTAAAGCAAGGAAAAAACCAAACAGGGGAAAAAAAGCGCCTCAAGTTGAATTGTAGTCAAGGGAAAGGCAAGGACTCAAAACAAAACAAAACAAAAAACACCTAGTTTAAACAGACGAATGCCGCTTAAATATTAAGAAGTGACCAATGAATGGCCCTGGCCAGTTTGGCTCAGCAGTTACGGTGAAAGGGACAGCCCTGGCAGACATTCCCAGTCAAGGGCACAAATCTGGGTTTCAGGTTCGATCCCTGGCCCCAGTCGGGGTCAAGCAGGAGGCAACCAATTGGTGGTTTTTTTTCTCTCTCTTTCCCTCTCCCTCTCACCCTCCCTTCCACTCTCTCTAAAACTCAATGGAAAAATATCCTCGGGTGAGGATTAACAACAACAAAAAAGTGAACAATGAACTTAATCTACATATAGACTATAGGCTTACAGTTGTTTCTCCCTTACAAATAACTTCTAAATATGCATGTCACTTAAACTGTGTGGCTATTAACGTTTAAGAACGACAGAAACTTAATTACATCCTAATATGTAAGACTAAAACATGCGCTTGATTAAAGGCTTTGGTGCCCAGACAAGCCAATGTCGATGTCTTGAAATGCCATTCATCCCTTCGCATATATGTTTTGTTGTGTTGGATTTTCTTCCCCCCTAAATCTATTAGAAGCTGACTTCTTGAGTGCGTTTTCGGTTTTGCCTTTTAAGGAATAAAATGTTTTATAACGCTAACTTTCTTTACTACCGGCTTAAGAGATGCTACAGCATGTGCGGGGCACCAAACCGATCTCCAACCAAGGTTTAAACAGCTGCCAGCCTCTGGGGGCCCGACGGTAACTTTCCCGCCCTCTCCATCCCCCAAACTCCCCAGGGCTCGCGGAGCCTGCCCTCCCCCGGGTCCAGGCCGCCGCCTCCGCCCCCCAGCCCAGGACCAGGCCAGGCCCGCCGGGCCGGAGTTGCAGCCGCCGCCTCTATCCCCTTCCTCTCGGGCCGGGGTGGGTGGACCCGGACGGGAAGTGCGGCGGGATCGGGAGCGTGGGCATTACCTGGGTCCGGAGCCCGGCTGCGGGGACCTCGGCAAGGAGGCAGAGCCGAGAGGCCGTCACGGCGCGGCGGGTAGGAAGGTCGGCTCTGGGCAGCTCGCCAGGTGCCCAAGGCCGGCAACGCAGCCAGTCCACGCGCAGACGAAGATAAAGCGCCGGATTCCCAGCCCCTCCGCCCCCCACCTCGCGGCCCGCTACGCAGCGTCACGCGCACGGCCCGTGCCGGCTCAGGATTTCATTGGTGGGCGCGGAGGCCGCCAGGCTCCGCCCACCGCCATGGGGGCCCCGCCCCTCCCCGCGCGCGCGGGTCTGAGCCCCCAGCTGGCCCTGTGGCGGTGCGGGGGAAGCTTAGCTCGTGGGGCTCGAGACACCCGCGGCGGCATCTTGCTTTCCATCCCTGCCCCAGCGATCCAAAGTACGGCAGATGGGGGACCGAGACAACTTCCTGCGGGTCCGCCACGGCACCCCGCGGAGTTAGCCTCTTCTAGAGATGCGCCGAAGCCGCTTCTAAAACAGGGTCATTGCAGTTGGAACTGACCCTCTAGGAACAAAACAGGAGAGCTAGTCAGAAGCGTTTGTCATGGGATGCTTTGTCAACTCTACCTGACTGTGTCCTCAAGCAAACTAGATGAGGAGATAGTAAAATACGTGAAATAATGGGGCAATTGAGTAATTAAAAGGGGGACTTCATAAAGAAAAAAAATGATGCAGAGCGATTTAGGACATAGATTAGCTAGAACAGTTCATGGCTTAGCTTTTACGAAGGCAAAGGTGGTAGGTGGATTTAGAGCAAAGGTAGGTGAAAAGGGAATGAGGGCAGCAGGGACTGAAGGGCCACACAGCCTGGGAACACCAGCACAAGCTAGCCTAGCCTGCCTGATCACTCAGACCCTCCTCCGAACAGATTGAGACAGCCACCTGTGACTGAGTCAGGTGGCTCAATAAATGGATCAGGTTTATTTGAACTCACTACTCTCTGTGGCCCTTTTATAATAAAGAGGATGAACACCTTTCTGGCCACCCACACTGTTCACCCCAAGGCAGAAGCTGCATTAGCAAGCATTCAGTCGAATTCAGTACTGGCAGTCATTGGAAACCTACCCAGTTTGCCTCTTGTATAACTGTGATTGTTGGTTCTGCCAACTGGATCTGGTAGATCCCAATGGCTTTTGTGCTTTACCGCCCCCCCCCCCCCCCCCCCATTAGCTAAAGAGCAGTAGAAACACAGGGACTCATTTCCACCGAGACTATGCTGGCTACCTTATATACACACCAAGAAGATTCTTGTTTTTTCCTTTGTCTTTTTGTTGTTGTTACTCACCCAAGGATACTTTTCTGTTTATCATCAGATAGAGTGGGAGGGAGGGAGAGAGAGAGAGACAGAGAGAAACATGGATGTCATAGAGCCACATTGACTGTCTGCCTCCCGCTCGATTGGACCAGGGCCCAGGACAAACCTTAGCCAAGGTACATGCCCTTGACAGGAATCAAACCTGCGACGCATTGGTCCGCAGGCCAGCACTCTAACTGCTGAGCCAAACCGGCCAGACTTTTCCTTTGTCTTAATTATTTATTCAAAAAATATTGATTGTGTGCCCAGGCCGGTTTGGCTCAGCGGTTAGAACATCGGCCTGTGGTCCAGAGAGACCCGGGTTTGGTTCCCGCTAAAGGCATGTACCTTGGTTGCAGTTTGTCCCCGGCCCTGGTTGGGTCATGTGGGTGGCAACCACTCGATGTGTCCCTTTCACATCCATGTTCCCCCCCCCCCACTCTATTCGAACAAAATATTGAAAAATGTCCTCGGGTGAGGAAAAATATATATATATATTGATTGTGTTTTGTTGGCAGTGCTAGGGGTACAGCAGTGAATAAAGCAGAAGAAGCCCCTGCACTTAGAAGCTTATGTTTCTAGTGGAGAAAAATAATGAAACAAGTAAATGAGATAATTGTGGGTGGGAATAAGTGTTGAGAATAAAACAAAACAGTGTGGTCAGGAAAGGACTTTTTGAGGAGGTGATCTGAGCTAAGCCTTAAATGAGGAGAAGGAGATGACTATGCAACTATGGGAAAAAGGACGTTCTAGACAGAGGAAAATGGATGTGAATTTAAGGTGCGATGCTGAACAAGTTTGGCTTGTTTGGGGAACAGAAGGCCAAGAGGCTTGAAGCACCATGAAGGGTAGGAGATTGAGGTGGGACAGTTAAGCAAGACCTTAATCATGTTGGTTTTTTTTTTTTGTTAAGTTTTGCCTTGTTTTGTTTTTTACATCAACTTATTTTGTAGAGAATGACTTGGAGGAGAGCAGAAATTGAACAGGGAGAAGCCAGAGAACAATAAGACAAGTTCATGGGATAGATGATGGTGACCTGGATTAGTGTGGTTGCTATGGAAATAGAAGTTGAAGAATTTCAGGATATTTCCTGAGGTGCAGGTGTGAAGAAAGGTAGTAAACAAGGTGACTCCCAGGGTATTTTCTTTTTTTCTTTTTTTATTTATTTATTTATCCTCACCCGAGGACACTTTTGCATTCATCTTCAGATAGAGCGAGAGGGAGAGAGGGAGGAAGAGAGACAGAGAAACACCAATGTGAGAGAGACACATTGACTGGCTGCCACCCACATGACCCCAACTGGGGCTGGGGACAAACTGCAAAGGAGGTACATGCCCTTAGCGGGAACCGAACCTGGGTCTCTCTGGACCGCAGGTCAACACTCTAACCGCTAAGCTAAACTGGCCAGGGCCCAAGGTATTTTCTTGAGTGAATGGGAAGTTGGCAATGCCATTTACTTTGAGGAGGAAGACCATTTAACACACACACACACACACACACACACACACACAACAAAAACATGTACAGAACTTGTACTAGTTGCTAGGGATATAAACATGAATAAGAACAACTGTCTACTGGGGAGATAGATAATAACTAAACCATTTCAAGACAATAAGATATGTTATAATAAAAAGAGGTAATAAAATTGCCTAACAGGGTTGTTGTAAGGATTAAACAAGTTAATGCCTAAAAAGCTCCAAGCACAGACACTGGCATATAGAAGTGCTCAGTAAATATTAACTTATTTTACATTCTCTACATTGAAGTTCATCATTATTGTTGATGTTATTATCTTCTGGCTACAGTGGGAGCAGAAGGAATTATTAGCACAGCCTACTACTCAGAGAGGAAATGTTGAAATGAAGGAAGGTTGACTCCGGCTTTCTGAAACAGTAGGAGGAGGACTTTAGTGAGCAGGCAAGGGAGGCGGAACATTCCAAGCAAAGGAAGAACAAGGTCAAAAGCCAACAAGACAAGAGGGTGGACCATGTAGGAGACAGGAACTAGTTGAGTGTTGTTGAAGTGAAGGGTACTTGCTGAGAAGTGAAAAGACATAAAGTTGGTGTAAGGGCTGATGAAGTTTGTAGTCCATGCTGAGATAGCCTGACTCAGACTTCCAGAGATAGTGGGGAGCCAGTGAAGGTTAAGTAGGGAAGAGCTATGATTTAGGCAACCGTACTGGAGAGAGATGCAACTGAAGGTAGAGAGATCAATTAGAAGAGCATTACAATAATACAGGTGAGAAAGGATAAAGGCCTAAAGCAGGGCAGTAGCAAGTGGGATGGAAAGAAGGGGGCAAATTTGGAAGAGATTTAAAGAGACAACTGATAGAACTTGAAAGTGTTTGGATGTGGGGGTAAAGGATGTATCCAGGATTTCTGGTTTAGCAGTCTGGATGATAGGATTAAAGCCAACTGAGGTAAGAAAATGCATTTGAAGTAGGAAAATGAGGTAAGGAGTAAGAATAAGCTTTACTTGGGTTAATATTTAAGCTGAACTGGTCCACTTTCTACTGAGACCTAAAGGAACTGAATAAGAAGCAATCAAGCCCTGGCCGGTTTGGCTCAGCGGTTGGAGTGTCGGCCTGCGGTACAGAGAGACCCGGGTTCGGTTCCCGCTAAGGGCACGTACCTCGGTTGCAGTTTGTCCCTGGCCCTGGTTGGTCGTGCGGGTGGCAGCCACTCGATGTGTCCCTTCACGTCGATGTTTCTCTCTCTCTCTCTCTCTCCCTCCCGCTCTATCTGAACAACAACAAAAAAGAAGCAAGCAAGTTTTGTTTTGGTTTTACAGTAAAATAGCTTCAACATTTTTTTTCTGATCATGTCAATAATGCATACTTCTCGCAGAAAAAAAAAAATCAAGTACAAAAAAGCACAAAGATAAAAGCTATCTAATGTCCTACCACCCAGAGATGCAACTAAATGTTGATGTGGGGAAGGAAAAGAATAATGACTTGAGCCTGGGGACTCAGCCCTTTTGCAGGAAGACTCTGGGTTCTACAGGGAGCCAGAAAGGACAACTGAATAGGAACCAAACCGGGTTTTAAAACACAAACATCTCAGTTCTTCAACGGGTCACATCTCCATTAATGATACCAAACAAGCGATAAGTCTTTATTTCATCCCAAGTAGGGGTAATTTCTCCATTGTCACTCAGGCTTAGCAAAAACATTGACTCAAGGAGTTAAGGTTTGGGGACTAAAGGACAATGAAGCATGAGTGTAAATCAGGACAACTTTAATTGGTATGTCCCTGAAAATTAGTGGAGAACTGGAATCCTATCTTGTTTATGCATTTTGGAAGCACCTGGCACAACATGTACAAGCCACCTGATAAATGTATTAAATGAATTAAGCCAACAGAAGGCATAAGTTCCTAGGCCATGAGTAGATCCCAAACAAAGAAATCAGACATCATTCCCTTTCTTAATGATTCAGTCATCTCACATGCTATGTCATCACTTGTTTTTCTACAAACAGAATTCTTTATAAATAGAAGGTAGAGAGCCATCTGTCCCAATTAAAAAGGCTGCCTATTTGACTCCACAAAGTCCATTTTAGGCACGGCAATGAATGTAATAACATTAAGAGATATACACACATGCGGAAACACCCTCAAGAGTTCCTGAATCACCAGAGGTTGTTTTTTTTAATCTCACACACTAAAGAAGATTCTGATCGGTTAAAATGATATAAGTCCTAGAGAAACCACTTAGAAAGTAACTAGAAAATATATAATGAAAAAATCATTAAAGGCATTTAAATGTTACAATAGAAAATATTCACTTAATGATAAAAAGCAGTAA